TTGTGTGAAACATTTTAAGTGTTTAACTTACCTATAGGTAACATAACAAAATGTGTGCTTATTTTAACTCAAACCGTGTGTTTCACTTCCTGTTAGTCCTTGTGTTTAAACTGCTATTTAATATACTGACACATTAGATAACGGGTGAAGCTACAGCCAGTAGCTAGTTAGCTCAGTTTAGCAGGAAGACTTGAAGCAGCTATAGCCTGGCTCTGTATAAAGATTTTATTAAAAAAAGTCTAACTAAATGATACAACAACTTCATCTTTTTACACTTTGTTTCCTGTACAAATTAAACAGTCAAGATATTTGTTAATTTGCTGTTAAGCAGCTTCTGTTACTGTTGGACAAAGCTGCTTCCCCCCATATCCAGTCATAATTCTAACTAAGCTAGCATCATAGCTTCTTATTTAGCATAAATACAAGAGAATGATATTGTCATCTGACTCTCGGCAAGAAATCAAATAAGGGTCAAAATATCAAACTATTTTATTAAACTCAGGTGGTCTGTGGTTTCACTATAATGTGATTTAACACATTTAGTATTTTGTTCTAATAATGTTGCATGTGGATACTTTAAGATGCAAAGTAATGTGTGACTGTCTACAATTATATCACAGCCCATCTATTCTGCTCCAGCTGTAATCTAGGTTGTGTAAGATGTATGCCCTTGTTGTTATTAATCAGGCCAGGTTTAAAAGAGCCTCCCACCCTGAGAGTGTACCCTGTCCTCCTCTTGTTGTCCCTCTGTTTCCCCACTCTGATGAAGGGCCACTCAACCAGCAGGGGCCGAACAAAATCCTGAAATCCTGTTTCAGTTCTTGAATGTTTTTTAGCAACACCTTACATATGTCTGTGACACATAATGTAAACACTCTCTAGCTCCATGGATTTATCTCCATGGTCACTGTTTGTTTTTATTGTACAGTTCACTTCTTAACCACAAACAGATTAGGGAATAAGGGAATAGATTAGGAGAGAGTAATAAAGAGGGCGGATACAGTTATGCTGTCCTGAGACTGATTACTGTAGTGGCCACCGCTGTTACATAACAGCTGTCACCTCATCATAATCATCTCCTCATCGCATTAAGCAACTGAGTTGTATTATGTGGTGGGAATTAGTCTCTGGAGAACAATATTCTTATATAATGTCTGTTCTCGTGTTCTGCATTTTAGTTTATTCCCTGCTCTCTGCGTTGAGAAAACTTGGCGCTTCTTGGTCTGAAGTCTTTCTGTCAAGTCTGTTCAATGACTCAAGAAAATATAGTTGTCAGGTTGGGGACTATTTGTCTTTGTATCAATTAAACAGAAACATATTTTTCCTCCACTCTTCCTTTGGAGCGTGTTGGCCATAAAAAACATTTTGATCTCAAGACACCAACCTGGTTAGATAATATTTTCCTGCACTTCGAGGATGTAGTAAGGGGGGTCAGTTAATGTATTTTCAGGCCTTTATATAGAATGTCTAGAAGGTCTAAGGAGAATTGGGAATTATTACATTTTTTTTTATTATTGTCTGCCTTTAACAGAAACTAAAAGTCTTAAAGCAATATTTTATTTTAACTACAGGTTTGGAGCTAATAATGAATTATAGGCATATTTAAAATATAGTATTTAACATTTGTTATTTTTCAAATCAAAACTAAAACTCGGTAATCTGATCAGATGATAATATATTATTTCCCCATGTATACCAATTTAAAAAGGCATCCTTTTTATTCATGATTCATTTAAAATTGTTTTATTTAGATTTTGCAGCTCGTTCAAAGTTGAAACACTTGAAATAAATGACGTCAAGCTGGATTGTTTTCACACGATAAAATGTTTCCAGTGTGACACGACTTTGCGGGTGCAAAGCCTCTCTGGAGCTCAGTTTAACAGCCAGCATTCTTCATAACAGCCTCTGTAAATTTAGTATGGCCACGACGTACGTGCGTCGGTGTGAAACCCTCTCTGCTCAGCGTCGGTGTTGGAGAGCGCATCAGTCATACCGCATGGTGTAGGTGGATGACAGCAAACGGATAAATGCGATCTATATCGGGAAAGCCCCGGCTGTCCGCGGCAGAAACCTGAACAGGTGGCTCCCTCAGAACCTTCGCAGTAACGCGCCAAGGCGCAGAGACCCTCGACAGCTTGTCTCGCTAATCGCTTCTCGGACGAAAGCGCATTTACCCTCGTGCGCGTAAAACCAGGAGTCCTGCAGGTTTGGGTCAGTGGATGTGATCAGTCATCAGGATTGTACTCATCAGTGTTGATTCAATCCTCTCCGCGAAGTTTTGGATAGTGCGTCTTGTTTTTTAGCCTGGACTGACATATTTGGATTCTATGACTCTTTCTTGGATTTTATTATCTCTCCTCTGAATTTGGATTGCCAAGTAGCTGTAAAGGCTGACACTGAGAACACAACATGTTGCCAGAAATAAACAACAAGGTGAGCCACTTTGATATGAAAGCAAGTGGATTGGTCGATTGATAAAATAGGCTATTTTCTTTGGATAATGGTATGACTGTGGTTTTCTGGTGTATATTCATTATCATTTGAAAGCTGTTTATAGTCAATCAGAGTGTCTCTATGAATTTATTTTTAATTGCCTGGCTGGTCTAGCTTGGTATCAACCTCATACTTGTCTAAAGTTAACTTACATATGTCCTATATTTGCTTTTCCACGCAATAAGAATTTATTTTGCCCAGATACAGGGCTTCATTCCAGACCAATTCCTTTTTGGGAAAAACCCTCCACAGGTATCCTTTTACAATGGCAGAAAAAAAAATCTAAACCATTTGATTCGGTTTATCTTTTTGATCCATGCCGATAATTTGAAGTGATTCTCACTTTGGAATTATTTCTATAGGCCATTTGAATTCTTATTTTATTGTCCGCCCCCTTCTTCCTGACCCCATGCCAAGATGTGATGAAAAATCTGATCCATTTCTATTTCAGTCGTTGTTTAAGCGCATTTGTTCTGCTGACATATTCCGCAGCGGCAGCCTATATGTGTTCTGGTGCATTTTTCACACCCTACATGGAAACTTGTACATTTTTCCCCTGCTGTTTTTGGATTGTAGAAGACTTTCAGCTTTTTTAATGTTTTTAGAAACCACCACCACATCACAAGGATTGATCCTGTCAAATGTGATGCCCGTATGAAACAGCCTGCGTGATTGAACATTGAAAAATGACTATGCATGTCTGCCAGCTGATAGTGATAGTGGGCACACACATTTACAGTTTGTTGATGTTTACCCTCAGTTGTTTTATTGCTTTGCTGACCAACTGACCCCAGATCTGCTCTCAGACCCCTGCTGCGATGGTCATACTGTACCTCCAGCAAAGACCAACAGTCACCCAGAGTCAGCTTGCTCCTGACTTCTGTTTCTGTGTCTTCCCTTTCATCTATTTCTGTCGGCACATTGAGAGGAAACCCACTCAATCATGTTTCCTTTATAAATGGATTGCATTTACTGAATGTCTACACAGGGAAGTTCATTTATTGTCATACAAAAAAATATATTAAATCTGAAATTGAAATATGATGTCTTTCACCTTCTTAAAACTGAATTTTAGATGGAGATACTGAGATCGATAAATATGAATGCTCTGTTGTTTGGGATCTTAACCCTTGTGCCTTACTAGGGACATTTTTTTTTTTTTTTTTTAATTGTACATTTGTATTAATCATTTTGACTATGTTACTGCATTTGGCATACATTTTGACAACAATGAGGGTTTTTTTGGGTGTTAAAATTCTTAAATATTCAGTAGTTACGATTAGTTTTAAAAATAGTTTTAAAAATGTTTCAGTGAGGATGAAAAATAATATTAATGTAAAATATTATTTCTGGCCGTTTTTTTACATTCTTTTAGGACATCAGAGCAACAAATAAGGGTGAAAAACACAGAAATGTGTGCACACGGCACCTTGGCACGAGCTATGATGTCACTGGGTTTCTGGCTAATTGCTCATCAGCCAGGCTTACCACAGACTGTTTACAGGAGATTTTATAGAAGCCAACCTGACAGTGACCCACATGGAGCCTGAGAATAAAACAGGACAACAATGATGTATCATACCTTGCATTGGCTGTATGTTGTTTGTCTTACTGAAAGATTATAATATAAACTTCAATATGAGCAGCAAGGCCCGTGCCTGTCTGCAGGATGTGTTTACTTTTTGTACAGTGAGCAGTGAAACTCAGAAGATCGGGAGTCAGATCAGTGGCTCATCCTTCTTTTCTAAACGATACAGCAGTGACAGCTGATGTTGCCTCTCAATCTGAGGTTAAGTATAAGATCGTGATTTGGAAGCTATTTCTTATATAGCACCCATGGACCCCAGCCTCCCTCGCTCCCTCCCGCCTCTCTCACCGACTCCCAGGCTGGCAGAGAGTGTTTGTGTCCCCATATGGGGCTAAGCTTGATTTCACCCATATGGTGTCCCCTCCAACAGCTGATTATTGAGGCACGTGTAAACTGGCTTGGCGTCAGAGAGAATCGTGCAGACATTCACGTAGTACTCTTTTTTTATATCCGGAACTCCGTTCTTTTATAACATTTTTTTCTCTTCCCTTTAACACGTTGAGGTGGGTTTGCAGTGAGCACAGGCACGTGTACACCCACTGCCAGACACATGGATATGCACATGTGCACAAACCAGCAGTTACACAGAGAATACCGGAGAGAAAGGGACGTTGTTGCTGGGCTTTTGCTGAAGTTATCTATTTTAAGATCACAGTGTATTATTCTTTGCTTGCAATCTTGCACAGCTGCCCACAGGCTGTGTGTTTCTGAAGAGAATGCAGAATCCACTCAGCATGAACTCAAGAAGCCTGAATATTTACATTATTAATCATAATAATATTTAGGTCTGCCTTAATCGATCTCTGTTAGGGTATAGGAGTTCCTTTATCTCATATCGGAGATGGCATTCTTATGTACAGTAACAGCATCTCTTTGTGTTTTTTCTTCTCGTATTTAACTGCTCTCTTTCTTCCCACAGTCATCTCGACCGGATGCTTTCCCTCACCCTCACAGACTCCCAGCAGAGGGAAACCGTCTTGGAACAAACCGACCTTGCTCACAGGTCAGGACGACCCCAACCACAATATGTATCACTAGTCATCTTTCTTCAACACATCTTTCAAGTGGAGTTATGTGAGATGGGCTTAAATTATTTTCGTGAACAATTAAAAAACAGCTTGAAAGATTTTTTTATCTCTAAAAGATATTTGTATTGATAGATTCATTGCTTGAATTTAAGAGCTCTTCACGAGAACAGATAGCATTTTGTAAAATACAGAAATTCAAACTATAAAAAAACAAATCCACAAAGATACAAAATAAATAATTTGAAAAAATACCATTAGAGATAAAACGTTACAGTCAACAGTAAGCTATTTCTGAATTAAGTTAGAAATTATAGAAATAAATCATATAAAATGTATTTAGGGTCACGATAAACATTCGTCACAATGACAACGTTATGTCCTTTTTCAACTAGAATTAAAACGCTTGGGTATGCATCATAAAGACGTATTATTTATTTTATTTAGATTTAGGACAGAGCTGCTCCTTAGAAACCGAATGTCGCACTCAAACATCCATGATGATGTTATAACTCATTTATATGGACATTTATTAACTACTTAAAGAAATCATGGATGTGATTTCACCCATCTGTCATCACATGTGGTTATGCCGAGTGACCCATCACAGATTTTCATTCATACAAGTGCAGTTTACTTAAGCAGCATGCCCCCCGCTGCCTGTGTTTACTTCCTTTGCCTGTTGTGGCAGGTGCTTGCACCTATATTTAGCCTTATCTCTATGCGTCATTACCAAGTTGGCAGATCGTGCAGAAGCTCTAAACACATGAGATGAAATATCAGATCTACTAAAAGGATGGGAAACCTTTTTTTATTTCCTGTCATGCTGTTAATAATTAATATGGATGCATGATTATGTTGCTTATACATCGCTGAAGGCTGCATGATATCCTGCAGTATGTAGGGGCAGCTTTTCCCCATGATATTCGAGTGGAGTCGCAGCTCAGTAAGACATATAATCAATAATGCTCCCCTTAACATGGATACACGCCGGTGGGATATCTACTTTTTCCCAGAGAACTTTGGCATTGCACAGAGGTCTAATTTTGCCAGTCATTGGCACGGCTTAGCTTTGCAAAGCTGTGACACATGTAATCGTGCTAGTAGAGCAAGCAGGATGGCAGCCAGTGAAAAGCAGGTTGCTGCTCTTTACCCCCCCCACGGAGCCACCACAGACAGACTTTGTCAGGACCCAGTCTCACAGGCTTTGTCCCCATTTCACTCTCAACCTGATCAGTAATTCCAGCCGCGGCCTACTGGAGGTCCTGGTCATCTGAGCCTCAGCAAATAAAGAAGAGATGTAGATCACTAGTGGAGAACACAAAACTGACGAGGTGCAGCGACACAGACACATGCTTGGGAAACATTTAACAACAAGCTTGTAGCTAAGTCTAAAAAGAATAATTATTTTAGATTTCACACTCAGACCCACTCCCTGTAGCTTACATGGTTCTTCTGTTGTGTATTTATGTGCTTTTCATTCTTCTGTATTGTTGAAAGACACTGGCTATTCCCCACAGAAAAATATCTCAACACTAGAACCGCCAACGGGTCAACTTTACCCGCAGCTGTTTCTTGATTGTATGTAACTTTTTTTCAATAAAATATTCAAGTCTCCCAGTCCGTGACTTTTCCTGAAAGTGTGTTATGTAGCACCCTCTGTTGTTAAAAATGGTCAATATGAAGTCAGATTGAAAAAATGGCCCAAGAAATTGCCATTTATACCCATCAGCGCCAGCGGGTAATATTTACCTTATAGAAAATGCAGTGATTTTGGCGCTAGTGATTTTGGCGCTATTGATCTCGCGAAAAAACATAAACATGACGTGTTGCTATAGCAACGCCTGTTGTTTACTGCGGTTCCTTATAGATAGAGGGATAGAGAGATACTAGATAGATAGATAGATATAGATAGAGAGAGAGATAGACACTTTGCACATAACTCACGGTAGCGATCTTTTATACTTCATGCAATCTGCACAAACTAGATATCATATGAAAGCTGAGAGTCCACAGATTGGTAGAAGTTTCATCACTGTGCGATCAAAACTCACTCTTAACCCTGTAGCGTAGGTCTTATCCCTGAACGAATACATTTAATTTGGGCGCTAGACAGAGGAATTTTTAATATAGCCAGCTGTCAAAACATGATATGCTTAAACACGCAGAAACAGAGGGATAGCCCGGTGACCTAGCTACTGAAGCTTACAAAGGAAAATAATAATGAACCAATTCACTTTCAACATAAAATGTCTGTATTTTTTAACCCCAAATAATAATCAGTACATTAAACAAACAACTCATGTCACAGACCATTTACCAGAAAAACTTAAATCCAATAGATACATAAACACAAAACAAATAAGTCAAATTAACTCACAAAACATCAATCACTTATGTGACTCCGAGAGCCTACGATTGTTTACATCATGTGGATTGACTGTGAGTGAGTGTGGGGGGGGGGGAATAAGTCTTTTTTGTCCTTTGTCACTCAGGGTAAGAGTGTAGTTCAGGGGATAGGGATGTGTGAAAGTAAAGTTGTAAAGTTCTGTTTTTCCAGTCCAGAGTGTGGTGTGTGGGTGTAGAGTGCAAGAGGAGGGGAAATGATATTGGTGTAGTGAGAATAACTTATCTGAGGGTGACAGGCCAGAGTAGATCACTGGATTGCAGGTTTTAACTGGGAAGGGGAAAGTTAAATGTTTCCCCAACAGCTCCTGGTTTCAGTGGCAAAAACTCCCAAAAATAGCCTGATTTATCTGATGAAGTCCATAAGAATCCACTTTCCTAAGAGGGGCGTTCACACCAAGTACTTTTCCCACTTGTTAGATCCGACTTCCTCCTGGTTCTTTCTTCTCTCTTTTAATGACATGCTGTCCTCCTTTTAACAGCACACAGGTGCCAATCATTTCCTTGATTGGTTTCCTCCAGCTTCTCTCAGGGGTGGCTTAATTAGCCACTCCCCTTTTTCTCAGGGAATCTGTAGGTGTGTGTTTACTTTTTCCCCTGTCCTGCTACAACCCTGTGTTCTAGTATGATAAATAAAAGAACATTGTACCTTGAAAATCAATGCATTCTAATAGCGGGTACATTTGACCCGTTGGCGGTTTTAGGTATACAGTGACCCCTGGCGGTTCTCGTGTTAAAAGCCTTTTATCAAATCAAATCAAGTTTTATTTATATAGCACATTTTTAAAACGATTTTTGGTCGAGCCAAAGTGCTGGTGCAGCTTTTAGCTGTGGAAGTTGGCCTATCTCTTTGTTGATTTTCCTAATTATTCTGTTGATGCCAATTAGACTGCAATCTGCCTTCTTCCAAGTCACACTGATATTCACAATTCAATTCCTCTTATTTACAGAAGTTTGGTTCTGGTGTAGGGACCCTCCCTCAGCTTGAGCCACCCGTGGTCCAGGTGGTGGTCAGCAATGCCAAAAACCAAAACCAGCAGTCGGACAGCATCCTGCCCCAAATTGCCAACAAGGGGGGCCAAAACAACTATCAGTCACACCCGGTGAGGCTCTCATACACCAGTAAAACATCCACAGTCGCTAATATATCTCAAATTGGAAGATGTTGAAAACATGTTGAAGGTCACACTAGTGTCTTAATCTTGTTTTGCTCATAATTATAAATGGACTTCCTGTGTGTCTGTTGTACAGGATGAGAGGCAGAAGCCCGCTCAGCAGTTCAGCATGCGCTTTGGTGCAGCAATGGATAAAATGTCCGTCTCCCGCAACAGCAAGATTTTCAGCAACAAGCTGGAGAAAGAGAAGGCATTCGAGGGACAAAGGCTACCCATGTCCCCCACGGGTATGTTATTGCAGATACAAATAGTGTATCACAGAAATGTTATTCCATTCCATTTTAAATCTTTGGAGGGAGTTACATCACAAACATATAACTAAGTAACTATTTTGATGCCTTTAAAAAAGCTGGCATTGAAGTCAACTGTTCACAATTGTCTGCTTTTGGCAGAGATGTGATCAATAACATAGTGACTCACCCCCTCCTCTTTCTTCCTGTTGCAGAGGCACTGAAGAACTTCAAGGACCGGATGACAGAGTTTGAGCAGGAGGAAATCATGGACTACGCAGAGATCTGGTTCCTTGGTGCCGGCTCTCAGAAGATCGAGGGTTCCCAAGGAACACCGCAGAACAATGGATATGATGACGAGCATGGAAGCTACGTCAGGGTAAGATGGGTGGTCTGTCACAATCATATCATTGTTTTAATGTAGTGTGGTTAAGTGGTTACGAGTAGAGACCATTTAGTAAAGTCTTCCTTGTCACCTATGACAATTGCTTTTTTCAAACTATTGTTAAATGTCAAAATGTGATACATATACAAGCTTTGTGGTTGAAACTCAAGCCTGGCATACAAACTTTTGTCATGGAAACAGATACATCTTGGACTGAAAAAGTGAGGCTGTTTTGAGACTCCCAAGCCTTAGATGTAAACATTTCCTAGAGGCACTTAAATGCACCAACCAAGACTTTCTAAACAGTTGCTGAAGTCAGCTTTGACAGAGAGAAGGTGATGAAATGGGATTTTCTTTATGGAATTGAAGCATTTCTTTCATGAATTGCCAGCAAGAGCTGAAACTCATACTGTAGCTACCAAAATAATTGAATCTAAACACATATGATGTTGTTTACAAAGTGTTCAGTCATAAGTTTAAACATAAACACCATAGTTCTATAAAAGTCAGCAGAGTGATGGACTAAAGTTCTGCAGACACACAAAGTAGTTTTAACTGCCTAAACTAAACTATACAAGACAAGATGCCTTCATGTGATCTTTATCCTGGAGCTGCAGACATAAACCCACAGTCAGTCTGTTGGTCTTCATTGTTTAATATTTGGCACAATAAACTGAACTGAGGTCATCATCTGGGATAAATCCGGTGACTGACAGACAGGTATGTGTTATGCGATATGTAATGAATGAGCTGTTTAGGGCTGAGTGACTGACCATTGTGTAGACTCTCATTGAGGCTCATCTCACTGTCACAGGCTTCAGCTGGCAGTCACAGTTAACACTGCACACACAGATCAGTGTGAGGAAGCATGATGTGCAGCCTAACTGTATTTGAGGAAATACGTTAACAAAACTATTAACAGTAGCTATCATGTACACATTTACCTGAATGTATTACATTTATATTTACTTACAAAAAGCAACTTTCATCTGATTTGATAAATGTATTACTTCCGGACATATATATGAAAAACAATCTATTCTTTTTAATGTAAATCATTAAAAACATCCTGTTGTTCACTCTGAAGTGCCAAAAAACTCGTGTTTTAAGTACACATGTTTTTATTTATTTTTTAATGGTGTACCTTAAAGATGATGATATATACCGAGGTTATAAGTCTCTTCAAATATTCACTGTGCTCTCCTTCTTGCTCCTCAAGGTGCTGCATGACCATATTGGCTACAGGTTTGAAGTGCTCGAAGTGATCGGGAAAGGCTCCTTTGGGCAGGTCCTCAAATGTCTCGACCACAAGAACAATGAGCTCGTAGCCATCAAGATGATACGCAATAAGAAAAGGTACACAGAAATATTTCACTCTAGTTCACAACTCGCTACATTTGATTGAACCTTTCCTAGAAAGTATCTTCAATTTACATATCCAGAATATTTTTATAAAATACCCCATTTATTACTCTTATATTTAAATGACGCTATACCTCACTCTATAGATAAGTAATTTCACAAGTCACATTTAAGGAGTTGTTTTTTTTCATTCACTTGAGGTCTGACACTCTGTTGTGAGTGTTTCCCAAATGCCTGTCCCGTGCTCACTTTACATTTAACGAGTCGGCCAAATCGCTGAGATCATGTTTTAGCATGATAGAAGTCGACCCCCCGGGGTGTTATCTTACCTGTCCTCATTCCCCCAGGATCACTGGGGCAGCGGCTGACACAGTGATTGTAAAGGTCATGTAGGTTCGCGCAGCAGCCATCGGGTCCTACCGCCACTTTAAAAATGCAGAAAACAAATAGAGGGAGCAAACTCTGCCCTGCAATAGCTGATGTTATCTCTTCCGGGAGAGGAACAAAAACCCTTTACATAAAGGAATGTTTAAGGATGTTTGGGTGTGGTGTGCTGGGAGAAACCTCTGCAGAAGAGAAAAACATCAGCAGATATGTTCATTAAATATATTCTAAAAAGATTCCAAGCATTTATCACCACTTTGGAATCTAAGATCTTGAATAAATGCATTTATATTATGCTAATTTTCAGGTTTCATATTTTTATTTTGTGCCTCTACTGTGACATGTCTCCATGCTTTAATGTTCAAAAAGCTATTTATATTTCTCATACTGCCTGTGCTGCAGCACCTCTTTTCACCCTCTGTCTGAAACCAGAGCCCAGTCTGCTCTGATTGGTTAGCAGGCCGGCTCTGTTGTGATTGGTCAACCGCTTTTACATGTCCCGGCCCTTAGCCTTTTATGTACAATGTGTTGGAGTTCGAGCCAATAGAAGTGCTACGCTGTGATGTCACTATGTCACGGAGGTAAACAAAGACTACAGTCGAGGCGTTTCAGGCAGGGGGGAGTGTGTGGGAGAGAAACTCCCTCTGGAAGGAACTTTGGGATGGTAGCCTTTGAAGACCATTTACATGCACAAAAACCTTTATAAAACACTACAGGAAAGGTACAATCCCAAAAAGCACAATACCCCTTTTTAAGTATTCTGCCAGCTTAATTCTTGGAAATAAAATTTAAAAAATAATCTCAATCACATACTTTTGAATTTCAGTTAACTAACAGCTTCTGTAAATGTGTCTGTAGGTTTCATCACCAAGCCCTGGTTGAGCTGAAGATCCTGGATGTGATAAAGAGGAAAGACAAAGACAACATGCACAACGTCATCCACATGAAGGAGTACTTTTACTTCCGAAATCACCTCTGCATCTCCTTTGAGCTTCTCGGGTTAGTACAATCATGAGTTATCACATTACTGAATAATTAATCTGTTGATCGAGCGTATTCCGGGTAAGCCACCTTTCCCGAGAACAACAACACGCTTAGATCACTGCAACGTGTTATCAAAGACTCTAATGACTCGTCTCTTTTCCAGTAATACTATGTGACCGCAGGCAATCAGGAGTTAAGTGATCACCTGTGATCACTTAAGGTGCCGTTTACACGAGAACGCAAACGGTTGTATCCGCTACTTTTCTCTTTCGTATAGCCCGTTCGTTCACACGAGGCTGTAACGGAAACACGGAAACGGACCCCGCAAACGATAACAGGTCCCAAGGTGGATAGATCTGCAAACGGAACGCTCTGGGGGGCCAAACGGCTCAGTGTGTATGCCCTATACGATCATTTCCTGATAACGATGAAGCCATAGCCCCGCCTCTCCCCACCTCTGCTGCTCACTGCTGTAGCATGGTCAGTAGCTACTGTCAGTAGCTACTGACCATGCTACTGACCATGCTACTGATGTTAGTGCAAAATCTAAAGCTCGACCATGCTACAGATGTTAGTGCAAAATCTACAGCTCCTCTACCACAACCATCAGCAACAAGTGGACATGGAGAATTACATGAACTACATGTTGCTAAATCCACCGCGGGGCATAAACAGAAGGGCAACCATGGCAACCATGCTCGGGGGTCTTCTTCGCTGCTTTTGGTGTATTTTGTGGCGAAAGTACAGCGCCACTTACAGGCCCGGAATATGTACTACAGCGTCTCCAGCACTCCCGAGCGGTCTCGTGTGAACGGAAGACTTTTTTGATATCGTATTCGGTTCGTTTGCGTTTCGTATGCATTTGCGTTTGTGTGTAAATGGGGTCTAAGCCTCCGGTGTTTTGGGAACTGATACCCATCTGAAGGGACATCGTTGTTTGTATCACTCAGGCTGAATGACCTTTAGAGGACGTCTTGGACCGCCACCTTGTCTAACATTACTGTCACAGAATCCTTTAGTTAAGGCCTTGATTAGGGCCCTATCTCTTACCCCCTGTTTTCTTCATGGTGTGAAGGCTCCAGTTACACACTCTGAAGAACTTTAGGCTTATTAGAAGTAGCAAAAGGTAGTAGGAGGACACATTCTGGGTCTCTGTCCATCCCTCTGAACGTGAGCACATTCATAGATTATTTGAGTATTGTGATGTAAAGTGTAGAGTGACTTCAGATTTAGCAGCCTTTTTTCTCATCATTTAGTTAAGAAACAGTTGTTAATATTTTGATTTAAAAAAAGGATGTGGATATGAGTCCTAAACCATGGAAATAAGTTAGAACTTTAGCATTTCTGGGTTCTCTCGTTGTGAAGTTATTGTTTTTTGGTTAATTGCCTGAAATAAGACCAGTGGTTAATACATGCTTTAACACGGCTTAGTTGAATACTATGATTATTCGAGGGTGTTAATACTTGATAACACACCACTGCTAAGCAAAATAATGACCATTGCTAAGGAGGAGGAAGGAAAGCGCTAAGAAGACAGAGCTTTGGATGTCAGAGAAATCAACAGAAGAAGGCAGACAGGAAATAAACACATACAGACACACGGTATGGGCTCTGGCATTGTTTAAGGACTTGTTAGTGAGTATTCTTTTCTTAGCAGAAGAAATATGATAGTTTTTAGGTGATCAAAATATAGTCAAGTTGTTGGTTTATTTAGTATGGGTCGTGTAATAAGTGTAATAATGTTCTCTGAGGCTTTCATTAATGAAAATAGAACACCCCTTGTGTTGGGCTCCATAATCAGCCAGTCAGTTGTTCTTTTTGTATTAATGACCACCACATTGCACATTATCCCTTGCAGATTTTCACATTTGGTTCTACAACATTAAATACATCAGTAGATACTTGTGAATATCTGAAGCTCTATGAGTCTTACAAATATGGTACTGAAAAGTGACTAAATGAGACTACTAAACATCATCATGCTGAACAGGAGTCCGCCTATCGTGAAGGGAAACAAAACAAATGTTTGTGTTTTAACAGCACTGTAAGCTAACCATATATCCCATTATGTTTCTCTCCTCAGGGTGAACTTGTATGAGCTGATAAAAAAAAACAACTTCCAGGGCTTCAGTATCGCTCTGATCCGCCGCTTCACCCATGCTCTCCTGCGGTGCCTTCAGATGCTGCACAGGGAGAAGATAATCCACTGCGACCTCAAACCGGTACTCCCACAGAGTTTCTGAACTTGTTTTTTTCATGTATAAATGAGACACAATTTAAAAAATATAGTCATCAGAACCTGACTTCTGAACGAAATCCCTGTACCGCTGTTGGCAATTGTACTGCAAAGAAATCCCCAAAAATAAACTATGAATTGTGCTCCATCTTGTGGATGAGTATAATATTGCAGCAGCCTTACATAAAAGCAAATAGTTTGAACTTTATTTGTTGCTTCTGCTTGTGAACAGGAGAACATCCTCCTGTCTCAGAGAGGGCCAGGGAACATCAAGGTGGTGGACTTTGGATCAAGCTGTTACGAACAACAAAGAGGTAGGGTCATGAAACTCAACTGAGAGAATATTTAACAATATGTACCATGTCTGGATATGCTAAGAAATGCTACATTATGAGAACTCATATCCATCACAGTCGCTTCTGTCTCTTCCATTAGTGTACACATACATCCAGAGTCGCTTCTACCGCTCTCCAGAGGTCATCCTGGGTCACCCCTACAGCATGGCCATTGATATGTGGAGTCTGGGTTGCATCCTTGGTGAACTGTACACAGGCTATCCTCTCTTCCCAGGAGAGAGCGAAGTGGAGCAGATAGCCTGCATAATGGAGGTATGACATGGAAAGAGTTGTGTGCCCATTTTAAATGTGTTTGTTTTGCTCACAAATGTAAATACAGAACAATTTTCCAATATGGTTGTTGATTTGCTGCAGGTTGTTAAGATGTCTAATATTTTGACTCACAGGTTCTTGGGATGCCTCCAAATGATTTTGTTCAGTCAGCATCGAGGAGGAGGTTGTTCTTCGGTGAGTATTTATCTCTATTTTTGTATCTTTTTTAATATGTCTTGTTTCCGTAGAGATAGGATTACTAATGTTCTCAAAAGTTAAATGAATTTATAGGGTGGGACTTTGCAGAAGGTGTGAGATAACTCTGTAGATGAAGAGATGATGAATCTGAACTGTGTTTGATAATTGTGATCAGACTCCAAAGGAAACCCCAGGAACATCACGAACAGCAAGGGGAAGAAGAGGAGGCCAAACTCCAAGGAGCTGTCCGCTGCGTTGAAAACGAACGATGTTTTGTTCTTAGACTTCATCAAACGCTGCCTCACGTATGTTCACATCTACTTTCTTTTATCTGTGATGTGACTTTTACATTAAAGGTAGGGTAGGTAAGTTTGAGAAACCGGCTTGAGATACACTTTTTGTTATATTCCATGGAATGCTCTTAACATCCCGATAGCAATGAATATCTTAAGTGCTTTGACAAAAAATCCATAAAAAAATGTCATCTGTGGAAGCCGATATACTGTAAAAAGAACGACCAATCATTTTAGTCGGCCCGGCTAAAATAACTGGATGGCCTACCTGCCTGTCAGCCTTCCATCGGGGCACAAACTTATCTCGTGCCCTCATTGGTCATGTGCGCGTTCGTGTGTGTTGGAGGAGGGGCTCTGTAAGGAGGTGGCAGATTTTCTCCGGTTGTGTATTTTCAAATTCTAGCGATCTCGAGCCGGTTTCTCAAACTTACCTACCCTACCTTTAAGTTGGTTCTTTATTAAAGATCAAATTGAAATTTGCACTTGAAAAATGTAATTATTTTTCTGTGTGTTTCAGTTGGGACCCAACCAAACGCATGACTCCAGATGAGGGGCTACAGCATGAGTGGATCCTGGAGGGAAATTTCAACAGAGTCCGGCCAAGAACCAGGCCGACAGTGAAGAAGGCCTCAGACAGTTCGACCAGCAAGCCTGGTAGGAGTATAGTCCACCTCATCGTCTTTATTAAGGAGCATTTTGAAGCAAAGTATACAAACAGCTATAATAAAGCAAAGTCCTACTGGTACCAAAGTAGCAGACATATCAAGATAATTGGTTTAAATTAACCTGAGCCAGTAGGGTGTTAGCTCAGTCCAGAGGGATTGGCTTGGGAACCGAAAGGTCACCGGTTCAAGTCCTAGAATGACCCTGATACCAGGATGGGTCAAATGCAGATTCTTCTTATTTTTTTTTATAATTTCCCAAATTTGGGAAGAATTAAAGAATCTATCTATCTATCTATCTATCTATCTATCTATCTATCTATCTATCTATCTATCTATCTATCTATCTATCTATCTATCTATCTATCTATCTATCTATCTATTCTATCTATCTATTCTATCTATTCTATCTATTCTATCTATTCTATATATATATATCTTTAGCTACCATTTAATGTCCTTTGTTTCTTTTGACAGCGGAGAAGTTCAGCTCAGACAGCAGCGCTATGGACAAGCTGAAGAGAGACGGTTCAGCAGCAAAGATGGCCCCCGCCGAGCGTCTGCGGCCCATCGGGGCCTCAGCGGAGGAGGAGGTGTATGAAAATGGTGATTTCAATCGCTCCACAGATACCAAGAGTGGAGAGAGGCCCGTTCACATCGTCATCCAGCCTCAAGAGGAAGCGGGCACGGAGAGAAAAGATAGCCAGGAGTCGTCTCAGTGTTTGCCCCCCATCATGTAACAGGCAAAGGGAATCGTGCTAAGGTCGTGACAAGATGTTGTTTAGGCTCATAGTGATAGAGTTGGTGAAGTCATAGTAAATGGACAGCTGAGAGAAAGTTGCATTTTGTTGTCCCTGCACACAATTTAATTTATGAGAATGTATGTTCTCATTTACTACAAACACTGCCATGTTGCTTCAGTCTCTACGTGACGTCACAGAACAACATGCATGAGTCGGACTTTCACGTTTGAAAGAAGTGGATGTTTTCTACGGACAGGTAGAACACAATATGTTTCCACATATTGAAACTAAATATTGATGTATACGGGACAAACTGATCATCAGCAAAGATGGACATCTTCTATTTATGGTTTTAAGTCTACAGCTACAGTGAATTATTGTATTCTGTGGAAGTCAACCAGTTGTACTTTTTTTATGAAATACTTAAGATGCAGTTGCAGGCTATATTTTTTATTTTTTAATGTGTCACAATTATTACACGTAGCCGTATGCTTCACAAGTATGCATATGTTGAAATTAGATAAAATGGTTTAAATCCTAATTCAAAGTACAGCATCAGCTTTTGGCTGTTTCTCTCTCATGTATTAGTTATTGAACCCAATCTTTGCTGTGCATTGACATCTTGGATAAACAGGTTAGTCAATAAACACTTTTAGTTTCCGTGATAAAAAGTAGTAGACGTGCATGGGTATAAAAGCTACCAAATCTTTGATATTCTTTTTATTCTTTTTTTTTCTTTTAGACATTTTAGCATTACTTCAATAATGGTAAAATATTAAGAGAAGTGCGTGCAATAAAGGCTGAGCCAAAAAAGGTTTTTTTTAATCATGTTGACAAATACAATTATTGTCATTAACTTTTTAATTGTGGAATGCAGTCGATGACAAGTAGGTTATTGATGATTTAATGTATTTATTTTGGAATATCTTTGATTCTATGTTTCACAGTTGTTTAACATCTGCATTCAACAATCATACAATATGGATTTGTAATAGAATCTATATATATATATTTATTCTGTGATTTCCTATGTTTGTGTACTATAAAACATTTTAAGAAAATATTTCAGATATTTGTTGAGGGTTTAGACAAGGTTTTACTTGTTGTGTTATAACTGTATGAAAATATTTTTTGTATGTCTGCGTTATTCATTTTTTATATTAGAAACAAAAAGACCATCCTGATCTTGATAGTTTGTGCCTTGCAGTATTAGGAATCTTGCACTTTAATGATGTGTGTATACATTCAGATTAGAAACAAATCAAACAGACAAGGGTTCAGACCCTGCCAGGATCCCTTTTTCTAACGTTACAAAACAAACAATTATGGTTAACATTATTAACCAGCTTTTTACAATTGGTTTAGGTCTTTGGGCGTAAGTGAATATAGACCCTTGCCCCGCACTATCCATTAGTAAGCCACAAGATATCCCAGGAAGTTTGATTGCAGATGAAATAGCAAAAGTGACGTTATAGTTATATGAATTATTATGTCTTTTTGTCTTTTATGATCAAATAAAACCTTGTTTCAAAGAACATGTTCTTCAATATTTCCTAATTTCATCTTCACTTTTGTCTTTTTGTTTCCTTGCTTCAACTTGAAATGACACTGAGGCATCGATGGCACATTATTGAAATCTGAATCACTTGTAAGGTGGTTAGTTTACAAAGCCTTATTATCATGATACGATTTATTTTTATGTATTTCATTTACTAATTTGTCTATCAATATCTCAATGAAGCACCTGCCTCAATTTAAACATCTGCAGCTTTCATTTTGCTCTAAGCAGCAGGAGCTCTGATTGGCTGGTACATGTTAAAGTGCTGCCACCTGCTGCTGAGTGCAGGAACAGGTGATGACAGTATTGGCTTGGACCTTCTTTACTTTCAAATTATTCAGTGCATCAAAATTGCTAATTTAAAATAGCTTTTATAGAATTTTGATTACATCTATTCATTATATTTAAGGTTGCAAGGCTATTCTGGAAGCACACATATTCCACCATTTGAGTTCAGTCAGAAAATATAATGTCAGAAGTATGGGAATAGAAAGCAGAGATAAATGTTAATCGACTGCCTATCCTTAGCCCAGGACTATTTAATCCGATGGTTATGTTCTGTTCCCATTGTAATGCAACTTCATGCAACCAATGATAACATCAATATTCCTTAATCACAGTAGAAGAAGCCACGTCCCCACCATTAACAACTTTATTATTTGATCACAATAGATTTATTTTCAGGCCTTTCATATATTGCCCAATGCCCATGTTGTTTAAAGCATTTTATTTTAAAGTATTTTCATTGTCAAACCAGAGGCTGCATGTTAGTGTATTTTTTTATAGCGTACCATGTATTGTTAAGACAGCACTTTTCATTTTTAGACTGTCTCCGTGTACCAGTGGTGAAGTGACGCAGGCGTAATTTGGCCCACACGGTCTGCCGTAGTCGGAAAGATGGCGACCTTAGCGCTGGTTAGCCGTCCTGCAGGTGTCCTTCCAAGGATTGCAAGTGAGTAATGTAAAATCAGTACGCGTTTGATAACTACAATAACAACTTAGAGTATTATGGTGTGATTTAAGATCTTTACACATGCTTTGCCAACCCAGGCTCACAGTTAGACTACACACTCTGCGAGAGTGACCTTGCTAACAGGCTCGGCTAGTTACCTGCTAGCATGGGCTTTAGCGAGCTACTAGCTTACAATTGAACTTTTTGATTATTTAAAATACTATCAGCTGAGTTACTTTACCATATTATTACCACCCGAACCTCGTTATGTGTTGTAAATGTAGGGTATTGAGTTACGTTTGGCTGTGCTTTAGCAATGTCCTTTCCAGTTGTCCAAGTTGACGTGACGTCTGATTCAGTGGCTCAAAACATGACTGAACGTTACAGTTTATAATAAACATACAACCCGGGATCTAAACATTACTTCATAACGTATCTGTAGTTTTACACTAACGATGCTGATAATAATAATATGCGTCTGTACAGTGACACTGAGTTACCGTTTGTTTCCTCTCTGCTCACTTTACATCACAAGGTTTCTGTTTGTAATTGTAGTATTCGTAAGTAGTGTAAGTAAGCATGGAGCCCTAAAAGACGTATTCTTCATCTGCTCAGTGCATTCACCAGTTTCCTATATCTTATAGCTAGTTTTGTAATGGTTAGTGAGAGAGAGGGAGAAAATAATAGTGGCGTAAAATACCATAACAGTGCAATGCTCAGCGTAAAGATCTGATATCAAGGCTGTAGTCTGTGGTGAATGTTAACTATATTATGTTACCCAGAATGGGGTTTTTAATTCCATATACATTATTACATTAAAAACACCCTGCTGTGTTTTGTTTTTATGTATAAAAACAATAATAAACTGTGATTGATCATGATTCATCTTGTTTAAAATACTTGTATTTGTATTTTGGGGGGAGGTAAAACACATACACGTGTGGTGTTGTATATAAATAATTGCATGAAAAATTTGTAAGGGAAATCAAAATGTTGTGTAACTAAATGATACGTGATATTTGAAACCTTTGCATGAATTCGGACAATTTCCCCACACTTGGCTATAACATCGATAAACCCACTATCATGGAGAACAGCGGTCATTTCTGTAAAAGGTGCGATACTCAGGTTACACAGAGGTAGTGCCATGCAATTTATAGTAAACATCCGTGCTGGAATTACGAGAGGAAGTTTGGGTCAAACTTGGTAATTAGATTAATTGAACATTAAAATGTTAACGCATTAAGGTTTCCAGATGAATCGCCGGCATAAACATTGACAGCACTATTATATTTATCGATAGATGGATAGATATACAGTATAGATAGATACATCAAAGAAAGCATCAATAACAGTTCCACAAGCTTCAATAAAAATAATTTAAAAAATAAACATAACCAGCATTAGGGTTGCATATCGTTGACTTTTTTACGATACCGATGCCACTGAACGATACCGATACTCAACCGATACATATCGTGATACTTTCATGTTGCATAAGGGGAAAATGTAATCATCCTGCAATTACTCCCATGAAGCGCTTTATGATATAGTTAACATGTCAAATGAATATTAAATTCAATTGTGAGACTTGGACCTTTTCGTACTGAACAAACAATGAAAAACACGTTATCTATGAAGAAAACAGATTCTGCAATATCATTTATATCAACCATCAGGCGTGAATAGTACATCTTGTCAATGCAAAAAGAAAATAGCACCAGTATAATCAATATTCAACCTGAGATTCGACTGACCAGAGAACACATAAAGGATCATGAGGTCTCGGCATTGCACATAAAAAAAAATAATAGCATCATTAAAATCAACATTTGCCTGATGAAAGAAAACAAATCCCATCACAGTTCAGTTTTGTGCATTCATCTTCAAGAAGATGAGCATATCTGCTCTCTGGATCCAAACGGGCCCTTTCACAACGTAGGATATCACCTGCTGAACTAAACACTCTCTCGCTTGGCACGCTGCTTCCCTGAACACAAAGGTACTTGGTTGCCATACGAGACAGCATTGGTTGGAGGTTGGATGTGTTGACCCCTTTCCCAGAAATAAACTTCTTGCAGTGGCTACAGACCCCACCATTGAGGGCACGACCATTAACCATTATCTGAAGAAGGAAGAAGATACACTTTATTAATCCCTTACAGGGACATTTCTTTTCTTTCCCCACTCTGTTGTGTTAACACACATTACACACACAGGGGAGGATATACATGCACAAACGCAGAGGATATACATGCAAACACACAACCACATGCAGATAGGAGAGGTGGCAGAGCAGAGAGGCTGCCAGGTACCCGGCGCCAAGGGAGCAGTTTCGAAGTTAGGTGCCTTGCTCAAGGGCACCTCGGCAGTGGCCTTGGAGGTGAACTGGCACCTCTCCAGCTACCAGCTCACTCCATCTTTTTTTGGTCCGATCGGGACGTGAACCAGCGACCCTTCGGTTCCAAGACCAAGTCCCTACAGACTAAGCCCTGTCTGCTGTTGTGGAAGAACGATAACAGATATCTGTGAAATTTCAAAACGTGAAGCATGTCAAGGAAGTTGAGTTTCTGAAGTGTAATTTTTGTGTACTTTCGGGTTAATAATGTGGCCTTTTTGGCAGTTTAACTAAAGGTGTGCGGCTGCTGCTGTGAGGAAATATCAGCCTGAAATTACAATGGGTTTTAATGGAGACATGTTGAACGTTTTTGTCACTTCATGCCCTCAAGAGGCATTTTGTTTAATTATTTTTGCTTAATTATTTGTCATTTTTCAAGCTACGAGATGTTTTCCTACGTTTGTCATGAAAGATTATGTCTCAGGAATGTAGGGTTTGGGAATTATGGCAGTTTTAAAAAGATATATGAAGGCAAATTTCAAGATTTGCTCCACTCTAGCTGTGACATCACACACTAGTTAATGTTAAAATCTGAAGAAAACCTCTTTAACAAGGTCTGAACAATGTTTAATATCTCTAAAAGTAAGAATCAGATTTAAAAGTTGTGTTACACGAATAATGTCAGAAAGATGTGTAACATTTTAAAGTTGGAATGAGGTTTCTGAGTGAAAGTATGAATGAACAGTTAGCAGTTGAAGTCGCATGAAGATTGTTCAAGTCTGAAGAATTTCTCCATTGACTTCAATGTTAAAAATGTGATGAATTATGGGATGTATCTCTGGAATTATGAAAGTTATGAATG